ATGAGCCATATTGTTGTTGTCTATAATAGCATTGTTACAGCTATTTTTTTGGTTGATGCAAAGCAATCATGAAACACAAGACGGGGAAAATAAGGTGGTGCTGACAGCATTCGTGCAGATGAAAAAACTATTACTGCATACACGTGGCAAGGGTGTGATATACGATGTCAGCAATCAGCTATCATCACAAGTGGAACTGAAGAGATTTTTTTCACACAGTATATAACCTGTTATAACAGCATGGTACATATTATCAGCAGTGAGAACTTTAACCTTCCTGACACTTTTGCGTCAAGCTTTGGCTGAAATTGTGTAAGCATGACTGGCTGTTTTCAAAACTCATCAGATTTTTTTCTTAAGCCACCACTCTAGTTTCTTTGGAAGCCTCTTGTTTTTCTTGCTCACTTGAATTGTTTACTTGCGCCTTTAAGAGCTCAGTTTTAAGAAACCCTTTCCTGTCTTGAGTTCCATTATCCTCGAGTTTTCTATTTGTTGGATTACTCCTATTACGTCCATAACTTGTCAAAATTAAGTCTCCCTGAGCACTGGGTTGTGTGCTGATGTTTGAGTTTCCCTTTCCCTAGTATCATGAATCTCAAAATGTCATGATTATTTCAGCCCCGAGATCTGTACTGTTTTTATCTCATCAGGCACTTCTTCTCTGCTGCTGATGAGGGTGAAGTCTAGGAGAGCTGATTCCCATATTTCCTTTTGCACCTCATGGAAGATGAAACTGTCAGGAAGGCAAGACAGACAATTTGGCATTGAACAGATATCTGAGTAACAGAAATTTTGTTATGTCTTTCCTCTTTGAAAATTAGGCAATCTGATCCAAGAAGGCACCATTCATCTTCTTTCTGACTTGGCAGTCCACCATACTCCCACAATGACATACTATTTTTCCACTCTTATTTTATTCAGTTGCTCTCTACTGACTTCCCATGTTTGTATTATTGGATATCCTCAAATGTGTTTTCATCCTTTTCATATAATGCTACTCCTCGTTTCCTTCCTGTTTGGTCCATGCCCTTTGAATAAGTGATACTCTTCAATCTCCATATTTCAACCATGCTTTCTATCTCACTAGGCTTCAGTAGTGTGTCTATAAAATCATAATTCCTATGTTAAGATTCAAATTAATTTTTTTTAATGTTTCAAACACTGGGTAGTGGAATGTATAGATACCATGAATTATATGCATTAATGCTTCTCTTACTGTAGTTTTCTTTATATTATTTCTCACAAGTTTTCTTGGTATATTAGACATGTACTGCTGTCCCAGCTTCACTCATGTTACTGTCACCAGTACATGAATTCATGCTGCCGTCCAATATTTCATCATTCCTCATAGATATTTTAGTTTAAAGTCCACCTGATCAGGTTTACAGGACTCCTTCAAAACACATTCTTCCCAGTCCTCATGAGGTAGAAGTCATCTCCTATCAAACGTTCTTCACCACAGCAATACATATATGATCCAAGAATCCAAACATTTTCGAGTCATACCATGTAGCTATTCATGTTTTACATTCATAGAATCATAGAATCAAAGAGTTGGAAGAGACCTCATGGGCTATCCAGTCCAACCTCCTGCCAAGAAACAGAAATATTGCATTCAGATCACCCCTGACAGATGGCCATCCAGCCTCTGTTCATTCTTCTCTTTCTACTCCCCAGACAACAGATTTTGCCCCAAGACACTTCCCTTGGAGACTCATAATTAGACACAGTATGTCTGAAGTGTATCTAGCAGTACAATTTGTTTCCACGCAGACCAACAAAAGGAATAGTCATTAATTGTCTTAATCAGTCTTGCTAAGTGTTCCATTACATCCTAGACATTTTTGCCAGGGGAACACACATCTCATGTGAAGATTGCCCAAGCTGGTACCCTACAGGCCCTCTCCCTCTCAGCACGGAGTCAACAATTGCTACCACACATCTCTTCCTGAGTCAGTTGCAGGAATCTTTCCATCTAGAGAAGTGGTTCTAAATCTGTGGGTCCCCAGGTATTTTGGCCTACAACTCACAGAAATCACAGCCAGTTTACCAGCTGTTAGGATTTCTGGGAGTTGAAGGCCAAACCATCTGGGGACCCACAGGTTGAGAACTACTGATCTAGAGGCTTCTGTGACCTTCATTCTCTGTGGAATATCAGGCAACTGATATCTTTCTGATTATATGGAAACTTTTTCTGTAGGGAGTCTAGAGAAGTATGGAATTATATAGTTCTGAAGAAATAGAAAGCATTCTTGCTTCTGTGTGTGATGTTCAAATATGTGCCCGATTTTCTTCCTCTTATAAATGGTTCCTTAACTATTGTTATTCAAGGTGTTTGTCTATGTTCTCGCCAGAAATTCTTCATCTTTTCTAACTTCTTTCTGGCAGAAATACTACTTGGAACATGCAGCATGTGTCGTTTTACACACTTTCACACAGAAAAAACCTGCATAGAATAGACCTGGCAGGTCACCTCAGCAGCTCCATTTGCCTAGTTGCTTGGTTGTCTGTACATGGTGAAAATAACCGTCCTAGTCTCCACTAAAAATATCTATGTAAAAATCCTATTTACTACTCCTGTTTCTTCACCTCCTTGAGAGTACAGGTCTGCTTACAGAGTATGCATGTACTAGGTCCATTCTCAACTTTTATTTCCGAACGTGGAAGCCCCTGCCAAAAGGATAACACGCCCGCAAACACAGCAGAAGTCCTTCTCCTATCCTTCAATACTCTCATGTAAATTACCCTTTGTTGTTCTTGTCCACACACTCTAGACTGCAGTATTATTTATTATTTATTTATTTCAAATATTTGTAGCCCGTCCTTCTCTACTCCCGAAGGGGGACTCAGTGTGGCTCACAGCTGGCAACAATTCGATGCCCCCTATATACAACGGATAAAACAATAGTTACATAATAAGTAAAACATTAAAATTAAATTAAAAACCATTTAAAATAGGGCAAATTAAATTAGTTTGCATTAGTAGGAGTGCCTTGGGTGAAATAAGGTTCCCCAAATGACCTGCTAAGCACCAAGTTCGTATGTCTGAAAACCATGTTCAATACACTAAAAGAAAACAGGACTGGAACTTTGGCTCCTGCACAAGGTCACGCGGCTTACTCAGAATGTAAAATACATAGTGCAAGAGCTATTTTTTGCTTTCTTTAATTCAAAATTTTCTATTTATCATAATAGTTCATGAGATAAAAACATGGGAGAAAATATATGAAGAATAGAAAAAACTATATGTTAATGTTCCCTCTCCCTATCTGCTATTCATCCAGATTTTCTGGAAATAATATGGTCCAGAATATAGAGTAGACTAGTTTGTATTAATTACAGAACAGATGAAAAGTATGGAATCCTATGCTTACAATATTAATGATGGGCAACAATTCCCTTAAAATGTTAATAGGACATTAGTCTGGAATATCAGTATGCAAAGGGATGTTATAACTCCTTAGAGACTGAGAGAAGGAAATTGGTAATATAAGCTTTTGTAGACTGTCTACTTCCTCAAATGCAGTAATCAATTATATCATTAATTAGCCATTATAGTCATGAGCTGCAGAAATGAAATGAAACCCATGCTTGCAATCTCAATGACCCTCTGAAGCCAAAAATAACAAATTTGCAGGTTGGATTCCTCACGTACATTATAAAATATTCTCCAACTGGATGGTGCTACATGAAAACACAATCCTTCTCAAACTGTCATATCCTGGCAGTTGTACAACTCCTGAGTGAATGATATGTACTCCCAGACATATAATGGAATATAGGAATGGAACAATGGACGACGAACCTGGACTACGCTTGGATGATGAGAAGATTGGGTACAGTTGTTTTTCATAATAATTGTGCATTGTAATTGCTTATTGGTAATTTATGGATAATGTGTTAAGTCAATTGTTATATGTTGTATGGAACCACTGCTGTTTCTACTCTTTTTACTGTTTGTGAACCGCTGTGAGTCGCCTTCGGGCTTGAGATACAGCGGTATATAAGCAAAGTAAATAAATAAATAAATAAATAAATATATGGCAGCACCAAAAGCCATAAACAATTTATGCAAAATGATGCTTAACTTATAATGGAAGAATGAAAACTAACTGCAAATCTAAATGTAACTTTATTTTCTCTAAAAATGTGACCAATCCCCATACAAGCAATATGAAAGTCACTGAACTTTTTTTTTTTTGCGGGTGGGGCGGGGGGGGGGGGGGGGGGGGGGGGAGAGCTGTTAATTTTTGGACCTCAAAATTACTTTCTTAAAAAAACATATAGCTTCATTTGGGCATTTCAGCCAATTTTGGCATGGTCCTAGTTCTGGCATGTGGATGAAATGAGGTAAGAATTAAGTCTCTATGCAGTTTTGAATTTCTAACCACTGCTATATCATAGCAAACCTGAACATGGTCTCTTCTCCACTGCCCTACTATAGAGTTATTTGAGGGAACACAGCTGAAGTTTATGCAGAACTCTGGCAGGCATAAAGGAAAATATCAGCAGGGAATTATCTTTTATATCAGCATTTCTTTGCAGATTTTTAGGAAATGAGTTTGTTTGCTGTAAAATAAGCGTGATTGGCATTATGTCTATTATGTTTAAAATATTTGCATGCTTTGGTTATTTTTATTAGGCGACACAACAAAAATTTAAACTACCCCTTCCTTTGTCTTCATATAAGGCATATTGCTTTTAAGAAATCCATATCTTGACCAAAGTACTAGTGGTACATAGCTCCAAGAAGGCCAAGGGAGTTATGGGGGTAGTTGTATGTCCAGATTACTCTGCTCACAACATAAACATTATTGGGTCATGTATCCAAGTCCAGTCCAAACTATACATGTAGAGGAAGAAGAGAAATCAACAAATGCCATCAAAATAAATTTGAAACTCATACATCAAGATAACAGCAATACGCTTTGCTTTAGCCAGGACCACAGAGAAACAATAGAATACTTTAAACATTCTTTACAGGAAATTCATTCATTTACCTCTACAATTAATCCTTTGGAATCAACCATCCATATCTTCTTGATGGCGTCCTCTTTAGCTGTCCCTTCCTTTTCCATGGACATAACAATCAGATTGGCTATTCCGAGAGCTGCCTTAACAAGAGAAGGGGAAAAAACCCAATTACTCCATTAAACTAACCAACACAAGTCAATTATGTTGTTTATCTTGCTTCATTGACTGTACCCATAAGCCAAATTGGCAATTGGTATTTTACGAATATACAGGTTACTGACACTTCACAATACAATATTATAAATAACTGCAGCATAGAGTTGGAAGAGACAACATCCTTTGAAATATTTAAAAAATGCTATCATGGCCATACTTAAACCCACACCCACCCCCTTCTCCAAGCTAAACATACTCTGTATTGTCAAAGGCTTTCATGGCCGGAATCACCGGGCAGTAATTTTTTCGGGCTGTATGGCCATGTTCCAGAAGCATTAGGAGAGAATGCTTCTGGAACATGGCCATACAGCCTAAAAAACTTACAACAACCCAGTAAATATACTCTACTCCCTAAGGTGCTCCTCATGCTTATTCCATGTGTTTCCCATTGGACCATCTGTTCCATTTTCCCCAGGAAGAGCACTGGTTTTCTTTTGAGAAAATACTTTTTTTTCCATGACAGGAGCAACTTGAAAAACTTCAAGTCACTTTTGGTGTGAGAGAATTGGCCGTCTGCAAGGACATTGCCTAGGGGATGCCCAGATGTTTTACCATCCTTTGGGAGGCTTCTCTCATGTCTCCAAATGAGAATCTGGAGCTGACAGACAGGAGCTCACTCCACTCCCCAGATTCGAACTGTCAATCTTTTGGCTAGCAGTCCTGCCAACACAAGGGTTTAACCCATTGCGCTGTCAGGGGCTCAATGTTGAGTAATATTGACTTTTCTCTTTTCCCTGTCAGAATTTTGCCATCTTATTTTCCTTGATTTTTCCTTTTGCTATGCACATGATCAAAAGCCCCCTTTTCTTGTTTTAACCCCTCCAATAAGCCTGAGCTCTGACATTCTCCCTACACATGTTGGCTATTTGTTTGGAGAATGCCCTCTCCCTTTTCCCCATTTTTTTGTACATATCCTTTTTAAATTTTAGCTCAGTTCAAAGTTCTCAAGACGTCCATCCTGGTTTCTTTAGATATCTCACAGTCTTCATCCTCACTTAATCTGTTTGGAATTGTGCCTTCAGCTTTTAAGAAACCCCGAACTATTGTTAACTCTCTATTCTGACTATGGGATCATGCTCAGTTTCCCCTTAAAATCTAGAGTGTCTGTCTAGCTATACTTGACTTCCCCTTTCCACTGTATAACACATTCTAGAAAAGAACATTGTCACACCACTTAAAGATCCCACAACTTCTACTCATTAATCAGGTGATCACTTTTTGCTTGGATCAGATAGCTGATCTCCTTGCTACCTATTCCATCTGGACCATGAAATTGTCTACACGGCAAATAGGGAATTAGTTAGATCTGATACTCTTGGCTAAGTTTGGCTTCCAACAAAAAGCAAGAATTTGAAATGGATGGTGGACTGTATGAAAATCAAAATAAATTAGTTTATCTTACATAACAGAGGCTGAATATTTTGATATATTTACCATCCCTCACCACTTTGTGGCAATTAATGAAAGGGCATAACTAATCTTGATATGCTGGGTAATGCCTGTCCATTTCCATTATTTCAGTTCTCAGAAGAAATCCATCCTTTCTCAAATCATCCCTTCCCAAATGATTCATGGATAGAAAGTCCCTGTAAGGGATAGGGAATCTAATACAACAATTCAATCTAACACTTTTTATTTGTAAATATGCCACAATGAAAGCAGAATTGTAGTTTCAGGATAATGCTCACTTTTAACTAGACCATTTTTTGCTTCAAATTCTTGAATAGCCTCTGTAAATTAGAACCAGGCACACTATACTCTTATACTCTTTTAATTAGCAAAACAGCAAACACCTTTGTTAAAACAGAACCAACACTATCCACAAGTTTGCAACAGCCGATTTGTCTTGATAGTTCCCATCTGCATTATTGTTAAAAGTATTTTTAGTATCCTTGGGTTCCTTTACTATATTTATTTAAACCAGATCCATTTCTAGAACAAGTAACTAGAAATGCCCTGTGCAAAGCGTTATTTTTTGGAAGTTGTGGGTTTTTTAAACTTTGTGTAATATACCTAAAATGGAAATGTAACAACATGTGATTGCACATGATTGTGACAACATACACACATATTATTCCATATGTTTATAAGAAATCTTTCTGCAAATGTCTGCAAGTAAGGGAGTCAACATTCATTGTAACCAAGTTTAAATTCAACAGGAAACCAAGATTTACCACCTTCATCCTATGTATCTCACATGAGAATTTTCTATTACTACACCTTAGAAAATAGTGATTTTAGGGTAATTGCATTAGGTGTTTCCATTTGAGGTTCACACAAACTTCAATTTCTGAAAGAGCCATTGCCCTTGTGTCTTCCAGCACTTTGAAACATTTACAAATGCTGGTGTTAATATTTTCTATATGGTCTCATTTAGACTCCTCCGCACAAAGGTCTGCTGTTATTTTTATATGGCTAGATGCATTTTCGCCCCTGACACTTTCAAAATAGACAGGGAATGCTTCATGCACTGGTTCTTTTGCAGTGAACCTTTCTGAATTCCTCAAGGAAAGACCCCTAAGTAGACACAGCCAAATGGGCTGCTTAGAATGAGGCAGTAGTCATGGTTAATGGAAACACTTCTGCCAAATAGTCTTAAAGCCAATCTACACATTACGCAGGAGACCTGTGGGTGGCTCTTCCAACATTTTCCTTTTTTAAAAAATGAAATACAGCTAGCTGTGTAATATTTTTCCCCATCCTGAGCAAACAAGAAAATTTGAGGGGGTGATTTTGACTAGAAAAACAGGGAGAATTAAATACTTCTTCCACCACTCTAATAGAACTGGCAACCCCAGTGGCTAGATTTCATTAACATCAATAGCTTCCATCATGGATCTCTCACATAATGTATATGTTAACCTTAATAAGAGAGGTGAAATATACTATTAACAACTCTTTGCAATCATTTCATGCACATGGTATCATTAGAAGATCACTGTATGGCAGCCGACATTTCTATTTGAGTTTGGAAATATTGTCACAAAATCGATGTTGGCTAGAAGTTTATGGGAGTTGTTGTCCAAACTAAGTAATTTTATAACCTCTATTAACCTGATTTGACAGAGACAGTACCAATCTTATTTTTTGGGCTTCTTTAATAATGCCTTGGTTTCTCCCTGCTTTCCTTCTCCACAAAATGACCTTTGGCCTATCAGTGGGCCATATCAAAATCCATAAATTTTGCCCCAAAACTCACCCTCAAGTTATACATGAGGTTGAGTTATTCATGAGTATTTATAGCAATTCCATTTTAATGTTGATCTTTTTAAATGCTATTAACATTGATCCATTTAAAAACTCTACTGTATTTCAATTTGCAAGGTGCTTTGAGTCTCCATTCTAGGAAGAAGGCAGAGTATTAATACTAACAACAATAACAACAACAATAATACTGAATATGCCCATTAGTCCATTGTTGAGTTGGGTTTGTAGTTGGTACAGTGACACTGTCCACAGTGTGGTTTGCTCTGATTTCACACTGTTTCTTATAGCCTCAGTTAAATCTGTTAGGATTTTATAACCTCTACAAACCACAAACAGTCATATATGAAATTTAAGTTTGAATAAACACCCAATAGTAAAAGGTACAGTTTAGCCTCAGTGTAACAAAATGTAGACTGTAGCCTCATGGTAATAGACATGCAGCCAAGCCAAGAACTTAAGATTTAATTTCAATCAAAACAACTTCCTTGCCACAACACACACACTCCCTGGTGCACAAAATGTTCCATTTCTCTTTAGCTTTGAGACGACTGCTTGCAGTCTCTTTGTGCCTCTGTCCTGTGAAAAGGATATCTCTGAGAGATAGGCTAGAATATTACTATGAGAGTTCTGACAGAATGCTGGAGTAGCCAAGAAGCATATTACTTGGCATATCTGTAACACTGCACCCAGGGCGCACACTTTCCAAAACAGACACTTGAAATGTGAGCACTGGGCTCCAAAGAAGTCAAAAAAGTGAATACAATATTATAAACCTCAGCCAAAGCAGACATAAACATAAACTCCTACAGCGTCAGAAAAGCTCCTTATCTATTCACTGATAAGAATGGTATCTGTCTATACAGTACACACATAACAGTTGGGTTTGAAGAAAATGTCATGTAGTTTTCAGCTTGCACGTAGCTTGTATTCACTGCAAAAACTCTCAGATGAGGATAGGGAGAGCAAGATGAAGTGCTTCTGAAAACCATGATATATATATGCGTCCAAAAGACGACCAGCACCACTTGCCAAAAAACCCCAAACACCCAAATCAAACCTGCTTATAAAAGAAGGAAAGGTGTATTAATACACCTCTTAACTATGATCCTACTGCAAATGACAGAATTTGGCTTTCAGAATTCAGCAGGTCATATGTTGTGCAGGCCTCATCTATAGTGATAATATAATGTAGTTTCAAGATGTATAATATGGTGGTGTAGAGGGGCCTGAGCCTCCACAGAAAAAATCCTCTGCATATAAACGTTAAGCATCAACAGAGTTTACTCAATCTACCAGTCACAGCTTTTCACAATGTCAATAAGGCACTTGATTATTATACTCTTTTTGATTCTGAAAGTATAGTGTGGTTAAATTATTAGTATGCTTGAATTGTTATGAAGGTGAAGTCTACAATATCCTGAGAAGAGAATATTGTATACAAAACAGTAAAAAACTAAACACAAAGACATATGCAGAAAAACACACGCCTGTAATTTTTTTCAAGGACACAATATTTTTGTGTAGGTTTTTTAAAGTAATAACAGCCTGTTTGCATTGTTAATCTTTAACAAAGCAATACATTGTGAAAGAGCCTATTTGGCTCAACAGATTATTTGTTCATTACTACATTTATAATGTAAAGGCAATACACATAAGATTCCGAGGCAGTTTCCCATCAAACAGAAAGGTTGCCTTTAGTCTTCGTGAATCAATTTAGTGAATTTAGAACTCACTGGTTGAAATAGTTTCACTGATTACAGGCTTGTTTCTAATCAAAATTCGAAGTGTGACCTAAATAGGCCTATATGATTTAAGACAAATCTTCCGATATGAGCCTTTTTATTATTAGGCTTCTATTCATACACCTTGTTACTTGGACCCATTGTTAACTGGTCCCATCTGGGAGAAAGAAAGAAAAAAGGAAGGAAGGAAGGGAGGGAGGGAGGGAGGAAAACAACTTGGATAGCTGAAGTACGTATTAAAGTGTTATACCTCTCCTGCTCCCTGGAAGAGTATTGTGTGATCTGACAGTTTGTTGTCAGTAATCCGGAGAGCAGCAAGGAGTCCTGCAAGGGCTACAGACGCTGTTCCTAAAACAAGCATATATAATGACATTTTATTAAAAGGTGAGAGTAACCTGTATCATCAATAGTCATGAGGATAAATCCTCCATTCCTTTGTGAACTTTCAAAAACAAAAACCTGTATTTGGTGGTTGTGTTCACAAATTACATGTCATAAACTAATGTTTAAAAAATGAAAATACAATAAAGCTAACAGATGCATTATTACGTATCATCATCATTCCTACTACTACCACTGTCTGTCTGTCTGTCTGTCTATATTCACAGCCCTGTCCCAGCCATGGGACTCAACATAATTTACAAATGTTAGCTACAGATAAAAGTTCACAACATGAAAACATATAAAGGTTAAAATATAAATTCAACTATTCACAGAATTCAATTCCCTTATTTTAAAAGTAAAGAAAGAAAAAGAAATAAAAGCAATAGCCCCTTTTCTCATCAGTAGTCGGTTAGCAAAGCCCCATGGAAACCAAAAATTCTCTGCCTTCTATTGAGAAGGTACTGTGGAAATAATCAGTCTAGCCTTTCTAGGAAGAGAGTTAGGGAGGAGCAAATACTGAGAAGACCCTCTACTGTAGTGGTTCTCAACCTGGGGTCCCCAGATGTTTTTGGCCTTCAACTCCCAGAAATCCTAACAGCTGGTAAACTGGCTGGGATTTCTGGGAGTTGTAGGCCAAAAACATCTGGGGATCCATGGTTGAGAACCACTGATCTACTGTATTCCTACCATCGGTGCCAGTGAGGGTTAGAGAAAAGACAGAAGAACATTCCCTGAAGATCTCAAAAGAAGGGCAGGTTCATATGGGGATACATGGCCCTTCAGACAATTGAACCCAAGTGTTAGGACTTTGTTGGTCACAAACAAGCACTTTTGATTGTGTTTGGAAACATCTAGAGCTGCTATAACGACTAAAATAACGGAATTATGTGCTACCTATAACTAACCCCAGTCAGTAGTGGTTAAAACATATGACTTCAGTATAATAACATGGTAAAATCGTATATTACATTTCCTTTTAAAGCCACATTTTCTTAGTTTTCATAGCACACATGTTGAAATCAGAAGATGTTTCCTCGGGGCGCAGCACCTGTAAAAGTTCGCTTACATAGGCCACAGAATTGCTGTAATTACATTAAAGTGTAGATTTGCGTCTACTATGTAACAAAATATTATACAGGTGGCCACAATGGCAGAGAACCAGTAACCGAGGGCACATTAATTGGAAATGTATCTAGAATATCATCACATGCAAAAATAATTTCAGCATAGACAATCCTATCAGGCAACAGCAATTCCACTATGATGCATATTATAACATAGAACTGCTTTGATGAGAATTAAAGAGAATAGTAATATGTACCCTGAACCCTGGGTAAGAGAAAGACTTCTCTAAAACAAATGCCAGAAAAACTAGGCCCTTGTTTACAAAACCCCTTCTTTGCAAACTAAAAGACAAGACAGGCAAAAGATGAGGCAAAGGAAACAGCAAATGCACAAGTTCTACCGAAAGGCAACATTCAACATGCAAGATTTGTATCCATGTAGATTGCATAATAAGAAAAATGAATACCTCTTTAAACCACTGTGATTCTCATAGGTCTCTTACTCACAGATGCCATCACTGAGCAAGAAAAAAACCCCTCCCCATACACACACATACCCCAATGTTTTCAAGGCAAATCAGATAATGATACCACAACCTGCCAGTAACATGCCATAAAGGCACAGGAAATTCCTTAATTGTTATTTTTAAAGCACAACATCTATGTATCGTCTATTTAGTTACACTTTCATCCACATAATCAAGTCAGCAATTTGCTCATCAGGATACTAAGTTTTTGCTGCACTTAGTGCAGAATTTTGCTCCTAGTAAAAATAGATACACTGCCCCCGGCCACAACATCACCACTGTAACCAACAATAGAGTGTGGATGTTTAAACAAAGAGGCTGACCAATGTCATGTGGTTCTTTTATTTTATATGTACAAGGTGTTTCAAAAAGATGTACCAATTTGAATTTGCTCTATCTTTGCAATCATGACCTGCTCATCAATGAAAGATTTACCACTTTAAAGGGTGGAGCGTAGAGTTTCAAATGATGACTAAATACCTCTTCTTTCACGCAAATAGCACTTCTAGCCACACTCATTCACAAAATAGCAGTCCCACAACATAAGCCCTTATGAGATATTTTCCATTAAATGTAATTATTTTTGTGCTGTTTGCATTTAATTCAGTTTTAATGTTTTTATATTTCTATATTTCAAATTGTATACTCTAATACTTTTATGTCAAGCCACTTTGAGAAGTGGGATATAAATAATAATAATAATGTATTGTGAAAGGCTTTCATGGCCGGAAACCTAATAATAATAATAATAATAATAATAATAATAATAATATATTTGTTTCTGGCTAGAATGGTTAGTAAAACTTGATAACTCATTAAACCATTCGTAACTCTGTGTGTAATTGTAACAATCTGCTTTGCAATTGGATCCTTCACTTTGAAACACGGTGTTTAATTAGACATTTTCCTCTTTAGATAGTATAGTAAGTATATTTCATTACCTTGAATGTCATCATTGAATGTGCAATACAGGTTGCGATATTTATTTAGGAGTCGGAATGCATTCGTGTTAGCAAAATCCTCAAACTGTATGAGACAATTTCTGCCATACCTAGAGGTATAAAAAAACAATACAAACAATGCAATGGAGTTAAAGACAAGAAGTATTATAAAACTAGCAGGACACCTGTAAAATTTCTTAAAACTTTTCAGATAGTACTACAAAGTGATCTGCTAAGGGTTATGTACTAAATGAATTCATAGAAAAATAATTAGCTAAGAGAAAAGAGAATACAAAGCAACGTGACACCATTTGTTTTAAAAAAGGATATAAACTGTCAGATCGAAGCAGTGTTACACTGAAATGTGGCGGATAATTGGATGTTTCACCATAAAAACACTCAATTAAATGCCAGTATGAATAGTAAAGCCTAGTAGAAGCAGCTCACATGGATTCTAGAATTACTGTAGTTCTCTGAATATAACCATCTGCAAAACATAGAGGACAAGGCTAGAACTGTAAATTGTGTGATGGATGGGAAAGATGCCATAACACTGTAAAACCGATTTAATATATGATACACAGCAGATGACTTGGATGGCCCTTATCCAGCAAGAGCTATCCACACATGGAAACACTTTTGGGGGCATGAATTGCCTCCTCTTTTGCATATATAGGAATCATCTGTGCAGATGCAAAATTCTTCAAATCTATTAGCCATGAAGCAAGGTGCCTGGTACAGCAAGCAATTGCACACCTTCGGCTGTATCACACAACTCACACTTCACTGACTCTCCAATAAAGAAGTGAAAACACACGCCAGGTGTCCTCTTTTCTAACCACGGGATAGATTTTATACATGATTTTGAATAGCGCAACGAAGAAAAACTCAATCGGGCTGAGAAGTTACCAAGTTTCAGGCTGATAGTGAATATTGTTTTAAGCAAAAGTTGCTACCATACGAGATTACAAAGGTCAACAAACTGAGAAGCATTGGTAAATTTAACTGGATAAAGAAAACGTTCATCAGATAGTATAATCCCTTTGTACTTTAGGACACAAGAGAACTTCTACTTGAAGGGATTAAGGAGAAACTACTTTTATTCAAGACTGTCTTTTAAAGATTATTCCAGTTGAAACTACTTAAATATGTCATAAATTATCTACAGTCTCTCTTGGACAATCTCCCTCAAAGGCCCTTGGTACTTAGAAACCTCCCACAGTTACTGATCAGCAACAACACACTACAAAACAAAGAGACAGGAGCCAAATCTAGATGCCAAGTCTACCTCACATCTAGTCAGGCATTATTATTACATGATCTTATAATGTCATCCATAACATTACAAGTTCATACAACTATTCCTCTTCCAATGTGATATATGCTTCTATATTTAATAAAAGCAGGGGAATACTTCACTGGTCTCAGGGTGGTCATTTTCAAACAATGGCATTTCAAAGACTAATTTCAATGACAATGGAGGTTCGGTAAGTAAGATACCACCCACCTATCTTAGTGTGAATGATCATTGTTCAAGAAATTACTGTCTGTATTTTCTGCATATACTTTCCCTATGAGCTCACTATTTACAAGTCCCCACCACCCAAACAATGTTTATTTATTTGTTATACAGTATTTATATCTAACGTTTGCCAAAGAGAGCAAAGCAGCACACATTGTACTCCTCCCCATTTTTATCATTTTATCCAGCAACCTCACACTCTGCCAATGGTCCAAAAGCCTGCCATAGTCAGTCTTTGGAGAACCAACTAAGGTGTAGTTTGATATCATTCCCTCCTTCTTGTGATTGGAAACTGAGAGTGGAACCAAACCAGGTGCCAGCTGAGTTTCTGTAGCCAGAATTTGTAATGAATCAAACCTTCAAGACTGAAGCAATGACAGAGACCCTGTTCAATACCACCAGAGCATAACACTGCACCAGCAAAAACAATTTTCCTCTTGCCATTTCAGCTGCCATATCCATATATATTTATTTATTACAGTCGATGACCAGCACCAAGCTGCCATACTCATGTACCAACCAGCTTTTACACCAACATGCTGTACAGTGGATGAATGGGTAACTATTTTCTTTAGCAAATATTGCATACCTCCTTGTAAAGAACACAACTGTCACTGTAGCCATGACTTATTCCAGTGTAATGCCTTAACAAGATTACATTACCACTTCAACCCATTCCTCTGGTTGCCACTCTACAAGTGAAAATATAAATCCTTGTGTCCTCTAAAATTCACATGCATATCTTAACATTCATACATACACCAAACATAGATGCAGCAGTTGCACTCACACCATCATCCACACTGTCTTGTAAGTTCTGTGGAATCAAGTATATGTGGCATAAGTATAAAACGATCAGGCTGCCTCTATCTGAGTTCCACTAAATGGCCAAGACTGCAATGTTTTGTAAGGCTTTTTGGTTCTCAAAACAAGGGATGCACTTGGATATTGTTTTCATTTTGTGTTTACAATTAGGGTTTTTATTGTTTGTTTTTTAAAATAAAATTTTAATCTGCAGTTTGCTCCTTGTAATCCTTAGCGTCCCCAAATTCCCTCTCCCCAAACCCCGCTCCAAATTAGGCAAAATGGCAAATAAAAGTGGCCGTGTTGCTTTAGACATGTGATATGTTGATATGGCCAGTTAGCTTGTAAGGGGAGAAATGCCCCTTGAGCCCTGTGCAGTTGCTCAATGGGAACTAAAACCAGCTAAATTGTTTTAGTACATAAGACATAAAATTCCACAAGTATCTCTCCCCACTACTGGGACAAAAAAAAAAAAAACCAAGACACTGGAAAACTATGAATTCACTGACCTTCCATGATCTTCTCCCAGACAGCTATTCTACTATGCATCATTTGTATGTGCCAGGAGACCTGCCGGAGAGCTCTCATGATACCCAGTGAGTTTCTTCTTACTTTAAGGGCCTTTTTGGGTTGGTGGGGGGTTCTGTAGTCCATGCCAATGCAGAAGTTACTGCACTAGCATGGGGACACCGACTGGGAAAGTCTGGTTGTTTTGGGAAGGGCATGAAGACTTAATCCTACTTTGAAATGGGTTTCTTTAACCTGCTACAGAGCAGGTTTAAGTCTGTCTGGAAGCGACTTGAGTGTGGTATGAGTTTCCTATAGATAAGAGAACTTCTCTTTCTGGTATTGTTTTGAATGACACAAAGTGTTTTGTATATTTTAACTGTGCTTTTGCATATCACCAAAATATATGAGTACTGTTCTACTTTAGATCCTTACAACCCCATAAACAATGAATTAACAGTTGGATGATCACACAGCAATTTTTAGAATTCTTGGAACAGAATGGCAAATGCAATTTAATGTCACAAATCCAATGTCAACATACAGTACTGATTATTAAAAGGAATATTCCATACTGTCTTTTCCAGATGTTTTCTAGATCTCTACTGCTATTTAATATCCTACTAAATCTGAAACAGGTAAGAGAAATTCCAGTAATTATGTTAATAGCTCTCTTTCTGTAACCCTCTGTCCAAAATATATTTGGCAGACAAGTAACTGTAATTCTTGGTATAGATTGACTCTAGTGATTACAGTTGTCTAAATTTAGTTAAACTAAATAGACAAAGCAGACATGAACGAATTGTGACAGTTTTAAAGGGAGACCACTTAAGAATTATAGTTGATGAAAATATGTCAAGCAACATCCTCAGTTGAGGATCACTCCACTTGTTATGACAGATTACTGAAAGATAAAACTATCAACTATTTCAAGCTTACCTTTATGACTTTAACCCTTAAAATCTAATAGAAAATGAGCTTTAATATGGTTTTAACCAAGTTGTAATGTTTTTATTCTGTTTATTTGCCCACATTTAGCCTTTCAAAATGCCTTAGAACTAAAACAATGTCTAACCGTGCAAAATGCCAGTACTTTCATATTTCCTATTGCAAATGATATAGGTATATGAACCTATGCAGCCTTTATAAAAAGCTTGTAGCAGCTCAATAATCCTTGTAAAGAACTCTTGTTTTCTCATGGGGACAGCTGGCCAATGATAAGTGCAGCCAGTGAAATAAAAGCTGCCTCTACCACTTGGGACTAAAAGCCAAGTGTGTTATCAGCCTCAAAAGTCACGCCTGAGGGCTACCTCAAGGAAAAGAAGTTATAGGTTGCAGAAACATACCATACCTCATTAGTAGGATGAGTGGCAGAAAAAGCAACATTCTCTGATGTCAATTTCATCCCTCAAGGTTTTGTGCAAATTCCTGAGAAGTTGGTGGAGTGAGTAGAGCAGTGGGGTCTTCAGTGTGTCAAAATAAAATTGCATATGTAGTGTGTAGAGAATAAAATGTTTATTTATTGCTATTTCAGTCAAAAAGCAAGCCAAGCCATGCAGAGCTGCAAGTGGCACTGAAAATTTAGATGTCTAATTAGGCCCTCTTAGAAGCCTGTTGCAACAGAAAAATGGAAGCCCAGCTTGGCTAAAAAGACACATCATGACTTTCTTCTGTTCTGATTGGCTCAACAGGCAGGGCTCATAGGTCAAACCCCAAGTGGGCGCACAGCTGCCTCTCTGCGCTCCATGTGTAGCCGAAAGAAACAGAAAGCAGCAGTGTGATCTGTTGCAGATAGAAAAAAATAGCAGCGGAGCCTATGCTGTTATGGCTGGCCAAAACAGTTGGAGCCCATTTTGAAAAATGGATCCGTGCACAAGCCTATTAAACCATGTGAGAGAATCATACAATCTAATTAGCACTACAGCCTGGTAGGTCTTACAGTATTTAATAGACCTCGCATAGTATTAGTTGAGCTTTAAGGTTACAGTTCATTAATGGTATGGGTACAACCAGAAAATAACATCAAATTCTTTAACAATGGATTTTTACATAATAGAAATGTGCAGCAATTAGAAGTTATAGCTTCACATAAACAACAAGGTACAACCTCAATGTGATAACTGAAAAGGCATTTTCACAAAATCTTTACCTGGCTCTTTGTAGAGGCAATTGGAGCCATTCAGAACTTTCCTTTTAACAAATGCTTCCCAACTATCGTTAAATAAAATGGTACCAGCAGATAATGAAGTTAGCATGAAACCTGGAATGTTACTTTAC